CTTGACCCCTAAATTGCCTGTAATTTGAAGGCAAATTACTGTTTTCTTGCACAATGGATGAATATATTAGCCCTCACATCTGTTTGAAAGCCTTTCTGCCTTTGTGATGAGACATGATTTCATGAGAACATTAAGGATTTTTTTTTTTTTGAAAAGTCAAGTAGTAATTTATTTATTTTTAGATTTTATTGTACAGCTGCTAGGTTTTGTGCTCATTCAGATTTTCAGTTGTAAGTTTTTGTACAGTTCTGTTGTACATATGTACTTTGTTATTTTATTATTCCTGTTTTCAAATATGCCCATGTCTGTACAACATAGAGTGCATTAGTGCCCACTCAGATTTTTTTTCTGCAATACTGGTCCTGAAAGTATTTTATTTTTCACTTTTTTCCATTAAGATATTTTAAATGTATAAAAAAATCCCACAAAATGAATCATACAATAAAGTTGGTTTCAAGATTTGGTTTTTTACAAGATTTCAAAATCTTGTAAAAAACATGTACTTTAAAAAGAGAAAGAACAAAAATCTGAAACTAAAAAGGATGGAAATGCAAAACTATTTACTTTATTTAAAGAAATCACATCTATAGAAACAAAATATTTCCATTTTTCATGGAAGTAGGGAGACTCCAGCAGTGGTGTAAAGCGTCTGAGTATCGAAATTTATTTAGTTACAGTAAACAGGCTCATTTTTGGCTACTTTACTGAATTGTCAAATATATAAGCAACATTTTAGGCTTAATTCATATTCTACTTTTTCATCCTTTCCCCTTTATCCAAATTCGCTTTAGTTTGAAGAAGTAGGGTTAAGGGGAAGAGCTAGATAGCCCTTGAAACTGAGATTTCTCAGGACCACACTCAAAACCAAGGGGTTTGAAAATTTCCCAGAATACACAACGGCAGCATGGCTGCACACAAAAGTCAGGAGATGCACAAACTAGTATTTTTTTCACATTATCGCAAATGTATACAACAAACAAGCACATGTTTTAATACATTCATAATGCCGTTTATGCTTTACTGTTATGCTTTAAAAAAAACATTCACTTCTGTCACTCGATGACACTTGAATACCCTGTCAGAAAAGTCTAGTATAGCTGGGAATGACTTTTTACAGTCTTTGGTATAATGTTAATGTTGTTTTCGTATGTTTACAAAAATGAATATGGTCAGGGTGTAAATACATAGTTACAACCTTATTGCCACATTATAAAGTTATAACAACATGATATATGCCTTCAGTGATTTCCTGAAGATAAATACCAAAAAATAGCACAACTGGAATGATTACACCAGTCGCCGTCGTTAATCTCATATGAAGTAAGAGCTTGGGGTGACATATGATGACGTGTGCAGGTGTTGTATTGCTGTCCCATTTCTTAAGGGTAAATTTTGAAGCCCTTTCCCACACTTCAAGGGGCAAAGGAGAAGGAATAGGGGAAAAAATAGAATTGGGATTGGGCCCTACTCTCGTCTTCGCTACATTTTTGAATTTGTTTATGTACTCTTTATTTAACTACATTTGTAATAAGTAATGCTGGTAAAAATGACATTTAAAATGACACCTAATTTAAATAAAACAACCAAATTTTTGCAGCAATTTTTTTTTACTTCAAAGAAAGTAGAAGGGTGTCACGGTGGCGCAGTGGGTTGCAATGTCACCTCACAGCAAAAACGTCACTGGTTCGAGCCTCGGTTGTGTCAGTTGGCATTTCTGTGAGGAGTTTGCATGTTCTCCCCATGTTCGCGTGGGTTTCCTTAAGGTGCTTCAGTTTCCATCACAGTCTAAACAAAAGCGTTATAGGTGAATTGGGTAGGCTAAATTGGCCGTAGTGTATGTGTGTGAATGCCAGAGTGCATGGGTGTTTACCAGTACTGGGTTGCAGCTAAAAGGGTATTCCCTGTGTAAAACATGAGCTGGATAAGTTGGTGGTTCATTCCGCTGGGGTGACCCCTGATTAATAAAGGGACTAAGCAAAAAATTAAAATGAATGAATATGAAAGTATTACAGAGTAAATGTTGCTTATGTATTTGACAATTCAGTAAAGTAGCCAATAATGTGCATATTTACAAGAAGGGTTAAAACATATTGTGAAATCATAAGACATGCATTTGTAAACAGTAGTCAACATCTGAAATGCTTTAAACTTTTATCAAAGTTGTCCCAAAGCTTTTGAACAACACCTATTCTTATCTTAGGATGATTTTGAAAAAGGTTTTTGATTCACTTCAAATGCTGACTACCGTATCATGCTTTTATAAAATAATAAAGTCTTGCTAAAATGCCACTAAAATGTACAAACAGTATGACACCTCTAAAATGCATGTGATTCTATTTACAGACTCGTAAATGATGATTGTATGCTGACAATGATGTTTATTCACATCTTAGGCATTCAATTATTCAGTCTATTGTCTGTATTGTTTTGTAATAAAAACAGCCCTAATGCGAGTCTGTCAGCCCTGCAAACACGCATACACACACACTATCCAGGCAAGATATGCACATAATTAGTAATGTTTACTGACCGCAGTATATTCGCAGTTTGATCCCTCATTTGTTTGATCAAACTGTTCAATTCTCTGCCTTTGTATCAAACGGCCTCATAATTTATTTATTTTTTTTACCTTGTGCATAAAAATAGTCATAAATCATCTTTAGCTACTTTTAAAAGGGCTATTATAAAAACAGCTACATTTAACAGGTGAATCCGGGCCACTTAGAGTCCTAGCATAGCACAAAATTAAAGCAAAGAAAGGTTAAAAGATTAAACTAGATTTTTGCTCCAAATTCAAAAACTATTGTCTGATTAATTGGTTATCAGCAAGTGTAGTACTACTAAGACCTCGTTTACACTAATACGTTTTGATTTTAAACTGGCGCTTAAGAATGAAAACGATCCACATCCACACTGCCGTTTCATTTAGCATTTCTGAAAAGATCTCCGTCGACACTACACAGCTGAAAATGCACTTCACTTGACCACACACACACTCTGGCATGCGCTGCGGCATATGTGCATGTCTGAGCTCCAGGCAGACACTGGGTGCTTTGAGCACAGCTCCCTAGGTGAGAGCAGCACACATTAAACAGTTCATCAAGGATCTACAGCTGAATTACATCACACCATAGTTGTCAAATGTGATATTTAATTCATATAGTCTCTATCTAACGACTCTTTGACTCAGGTAACGTGTTTTCGCTGAGTGCAAAGATAAGTAAGGTTATTATATTAATTTATGTTACCACTTACACTGATTCTGCACATTTGACTGATTGCTTGCCTTTATTTGCTATATTGTATAAACTTATTGTAATATTTACTGACATTATTAATTATTATAACTGATATTCAGCAACAGAAACAGGATATGTTTCATATTTTTCAATGGAAATGAAAGGAGGCAGTTAGATGCTTCGTTTTCTTATAAATATGCATACAGTGAAGATGAAGGTCATTTAACTATAAGAATCACAATGCCCTAACATTTTTGGTGCCTACTAAAATGAAAATAGGCAGTTCCTTATATCAAGTTATCATTTTATTGTTAAGATATGAGAATTACTTTATAATAACATTGTTGCCTTTGAAGATTTACCCAACGTGTCCTCAGGAGTTTGTTTTCCATATTAATCTTGCAAAGTCTGAACTTAAGGAAAGGGTAAGACTGAACATTTTGCACCTAATATTGAGGAAAAAGCCCCATCCACACTGACACCAAGCACCAGTGTTTTAAAACCAAACCAGCCTCTTCAGCATTATCAAAATGCTCCATTTTCGGGGCTCAAAAACTCCGGGGTAGTGTGGATGAAAGGTGTAATCATAGCAAAACTTAAGCATTTTAAAACTAAAACGTATTAATGTAAATGGGCCGAAGTTATCATTTTCGGTAAATTTCAAAATTGGTTGATGGTTAACAGCATCATGGCTACTTTAGTTTTCCAACACACATTCTGCTGTTTAAAATGATTGTTTTAAAATAAGAGGCCAACAAAAGCAAATATAATCAGTTATAAAACACTGTAGCTCTAACTAGGTCAGTCTTTAAAAATTGATTCCTCAACACTGTAAAGCCCAACTGTCAACGTTATCAAATGAAATGAGTGTAGTTAACTCAAAACGAACTAAAAGTTAATTCTACTCAGTTAAAAAGAGTTTTGAACTCAGTGTTGAAGGTAATAAGTTAATTAAATACCTCATTACTTCAACTTAAATGGAGTAAGTTCAGAGTACTCATATAAATTATTGTTTTTATTATTATTTTTTTTAACTCAAATGGTTTGTTATCGGTTTCCTTAAATGGTTTGAGTTGCCTTAACTTATTGGGTTTTACAGTACTCAGTTGGTTTGAATTCCTTGCATTTATTGAATTTTTCTGTGCTCAAATTGCTTCATTTAGTCAAACTGATTAAGTTCACAGTACTCAATTGGATTCTGTTTTGAACTTAAATGGTTTCTTGCAATCGGTTTCCTCAAATAGTTTGAGTTATCTTAACTTTTTAGGTTTTATAGTGTAGGTTGAGTTTTTACTGCATAAAAATTTAGGTTGACAGTATAAAAGCAGTGCATATTAAAATAATATATTAATGAATTTTTACAAACGTTAGCTAAAAAATAAACAACTTAATAATGTTTTTGTCCTCTGTGTTTTGTTTATCAATAAAACTCAATTTGACTCTGTTGTATCGACAACAATGTGGCAACCAAACAAAAAGCGCTAAGCCTTGTAGAGTGAAACTATGTAAAATCAATCTATAGATAACAACGAGCGGGTTTCGAGTTTGGGATGGCATCTGTTCTGTGATTAAACTCCTCATTTGCCACTGAAGTGGAGGAATGAATAAGGTGAGCTCTAGGGAGAGCAGGCAGAGTGTGACGGATCCGGGCCCCGGGGCAGATGCCGCCGGTGGGGATAAAGCCATAGTCTCAGTCTGCTGCTCCTGATAATCAGTGTCTCAGCCAGTGTTTGCGGAAAGTGAGAAAGGGTTGGCTCTGACCTGTCAATGATGGCACACATGTCCAGGCTGACGTTTTCGAAGGCTCCGATTCTTCCCTGCTCTACTGCGGTCAGGTCTGCCAGCTGATCATCCACCTGAATAAGTTGCATGCAGCCCTGGAACGAGCGCTGGATGGGGGATGCTCTGGTTCTTAAAAAATAACCTAAACATAAAAAACACAGCAAAGATAAATAAAATGAGCAATATCAGCGTATGGATGTGACATTTGCAGTAAAATCACAAAACATAAATTCACAGAGAAAGTATATTTAATCATCATATCGGAACATGTTTATATTTTCCAAAAACATCTGCGAGTTTACAGTATACAACATACTTTGTAGAAATTCTGTGAATTAAACTGCACAAACAACCCAAAATAAACAATGCTAATCAAAAGGATCTCTATAGAACAAAAATCATTTATTTTATTTGACATTTATTTTGCATTTCTAAGGAAAGACTTTGTTATAGATGTGACATGTCTCGGTTATGGATATGACAGATGTGTAATTGACACTTGTGTGATTTTGATAAATCAAATATAATTGTTTGAAAACATTATTAGAGACATTTTTTTGTTTTTTTTAAAGCACTGTAAAATATTTGCTTACACAAAAAATGTAGAAACGGTTTCGATATTTTGGCGACAACTAATTTTATTTTATTTATTTTTTCATGGCAAGGTTGACATTTGCATGGAATTGCTAATATGCCACATACAGTACAGTAGATATTTCATATGCAGTATAACGACATGATTTTTGACCATGGACCACAAAACCAGTAATAAGAATATACTCGAGAACTCAAATGTGATGAATAAGCTTTCCATTGATGTATTCTTTGTTTGGATGTGGTAATATTTGGCAGAGAAACAGCTATTTGAATATGTAGAACTTGAGGGTTTAAAAAAATCTAAATACTGACAAATTGCCTTAAAATTTTCCCTAAGTTGCTAAACTACTAAAAAATAAATTGAGTTGTTGTATTTAAGGTAGAAGATTTAAACATATTCACGGAACCTGATATTTACTTAATACTGTAATAATTGCTGCTATGAAAGAAAACAATTATAATCAGTTTTCCTTTCCCACCCAATTGGGTGGTTTTTAATTTGATTGTTTGGGTAAAAATAGCAATAGGTTGGTTTGCAAAATTCGAGTGGTTTTGAAGCATAAATTATAAATGCAACTTTTTTTAACAAAACATAACTGTGTGCTTCTACTCCATTCAGTTAGAAGTGTCCAGTGAATAGTGCAAACCGTGTGAGCCCACCCGCAAAAGCAGGTGAAAGAACATTTTATCAAAATTTTACTCCCCTTCGTGTGCATGTACATCTTGCAGTGCCTGCAGGTAAACTCACAGAGGTTTATCATAACACCTATCGATCATTTTTCCTGCAATTGACAGCAAGAACAAACATAGAAGCGTAGTCTGATTGACAAGCAGCACCTAATTATGTTCAAAAAAAAATTTAAATGCCTAATGGGATAAATTTATATCCCATTTCGAAAGTAAAACATAGCCTACTCTAATAGGTAGTGTAATCTACACATTAAGTGCAGAGAGTGGGTGAGATGAGGGCAATGTTTCGAAGTGATCCTGTAATGTTGTTGTGACTGCTGGTGTTGGTTGCTGTATTGTTAAAAATGATGACAGTTAAAGGAATCAGGCTAATTAAGTCAATTTAAATAAATTCATTCATTCATTCATTCACTTTCTTTTCGGCTTAGTCCCTTTATTAATCTGGGGTCGCCACAGCAGAATGAACTGCCTTAAATAAATTAAAATTAATTTAAGTATTAATATAAGATTTTGGACTTTTTTTGTGCATTTGGGTGTGTTTTGGATGGCTTTTGGGCTGGAAAAAGTCAGCTATATCTGGCAACACTGATTACAATTTTGACCCATACAATGTATTTTGGGCCATTGAAAAAATATACCAGGGCAATTTAAGACTATGCTTTTCAGGATTTAACATAAAAAAAAATAAATTACTGTCTTTAGTTTTTAAAGTATATTGTTGTAACAATGATTAACTGAATTAGTTTGATCATTAGTAAAAACATTATACTACAAATTATCATTATCATTATTATTATGATTATTATGATAAAATTTTCTATTTTAATATATTTATTAAATGTATTCCTGTAATGGTGTTTTTCTTTAGCAGCCCAAGTCCTCTGTTCCACATAATCTTTCAGAAATGATTAAAATACATTGCTGAAATGCTGATTGATTAACATTTTAGCTGTCAATGATGTGCTGTTTAGTATATATAGCGCACCCCTAAATTACTTTATAAATGGTGTAATAATTATATCTTAGAAAGTCTTTTTTAATGACTTTCTACATGCACACAACTACAGTCACAATCCAGGCAAAATCTGTTGTCATTTAATGACCGAATAAAGCTTTAATCAGCCGAAATGAGCTGGTGAGTTTGTGAGACATTTTATCTCATACTGTAGAATTGAGATCTGTATACTATATTGCTTGGAATAAAAAAGGTCACACTAAATTAAACACAAAAATAAAGTCAGCCAGTGTTATGTAATGTCAAATGTGTGAAAGGTAATCTAATGTCAGATGTGTAAAAGCTGAACATAAGGATCATTAACTAGAGAAAACCCATGAACTGTACCTCATTAACCAAGTGATAGCTTGACACCATAAAGGTCATGAACATTGCAAACAATCAGCCAACTTTGATGGTACTAATGAGAATAACATACTGAACCAGGTCGGTTTATAGCAATTTCTCCATGTGTACTATTGACATTCGAAAAAATAAAAATACTAAATAAAATCTGCTTGTCATTCATCTGTCTGTTTAAAAAAATACACAATGTTAAACTAACAGACTTGTCAGAGAATCTACATGTTGATTTTCTTGGGAACTCAAGTGCTTCTGAAGCATCTGCTTAATGAATAAATGTAAATGTACCATGTTTATACCTGGTGTTAAGATAAGTAACATACTGGTGTAAACAGGGTCTGAAATATTTTAAGATGATACACTTTTGACCACTTCCAGAGCTAATTAAAACTATTAAATGAAATGCTTTCATGTTGTAAATGCTTATGTTGTGAAATGCATTCAAACTGCCACAGAAGACCACCTACATTTGCATGAAGGATTCAATAGACAGGGGTTATAAGAAACAATGAATTATAATGGCTGAAGAAGACACTCTTATGCTATGGAATTTTTTTTTTTTAATGACCACAGAGTTATGACTATGGTATGACATCTCATCCAATGGAAATTATTTCTTAAAGTATGGCCATCACTATAACAAGGCATAAAAAAACACACAAAGACTGCTGGACAAGCACTACACTAACCTCACTAACAGCAGCAACCTTATTTCCCCTGGAGGCTCACATCAAGTTAGTGACCTGACCTAACCCTGCTTAGCTCAATTACACAACTATTTATGGGCTACAGGGTGATATTCTATTTCCCTACTGACCTGAATCTTGATGCACTGGTCTATACAAGTCATCTAGTCAGAAACAGATGAAAAATTAAAACCGCATTAGGTAGTTGTAGATGTAAGGTATGCTTTAAAGCATGCCAGCTGGTTTGAGCTGGTTTAAGAGTCTTACTGTAGCTGGTTTAAGCTGATGCCTAATCCACTAGTCCAACTAGTCCAGCTAAGGACAAAGACAACATTTCAACTCAATTCAATTAAATTTTTTTTCCTGTAGCGCAATATTATACAATATATTTACAATATAGATTGTGTCAAAGCAGCTTAACATAGAAGTTTTAGTAAATTAAAACTGTGTCAGTCCAGTTTTCAGAGTTGAAGTTTAGTTTAGTTTAGTTCAGTGTGGTTTACATTTCACTGCTGAAAGTCCAAACACTGAAGAGCAAATCTAGTGATGCGCAGCTCCACAAGTTCCAAACCAAGCAAGCCAGTGGCGACAGTGCTGAGGAACAAAGCTTCACCAATTGATGAAAGTGAAAGAAAAAACCTTGAAAGAAACCAGGCTCAGTTGGGAACAGTCATATCTCATCTGGCCAAACTTCTTGTGCAAAGCTGCAGTCTAGCAACTGGAGGCTGGAGAATACTGGACGTCTATCGTGGAGAAGCTGCAGGTGTGAGTAGATCACCAGCAGTGTTCAGGTTGGCCCACGAGATCAATGCAATAGAATACACAAGATGTGTCACTCATGTAGTTTTAAATAGGAAAAAAGCAAACATCAATATGGATACACTAGGGAAGGGAGCCCCACTTTTTTGTAAAGGAGCCAGTCATTGATCCCTATAGACAGATGTTTCAATAGAGGAGGGGCTTGGCTCAGATGTTTCTGCAGCTTTATTGTTATGATTCTCTGGAGCTGGTAAACGTGCTTGAATCTGTCTACATAAAATATATATTTAAATAAAGTCCAAAATCCCTACTTTTAAATGAACCAACTACACTTGAAGATAAATATTCAGTTTATTTATTTATTTTTTTTATCTGTTTGAAATAGACGTGAGGGACTGCACAGCGAGGTATGACCTCATTATTTTAAATGCATTCCTGCCTCCACCATTTACACCCACAAACTTGTAAACAAAGTGGTTACTTTGACCAGCACGAATGGATGCAGCATTATTCAGAGGATGATATTGTGTAATACACAGTTACATTGCTTGATTGACTGGATGGCAGGTCTGGCATGTCCTCCAGTAACCAAAAAAAAAAGAGGTTGAGGTTGTGAGTTTGTTCCCTTCAGATGTGTATGTCCATTAACTTGGGCAACCTGATAAAATTCTTTCTTTTTTAATCATGATGCAAATGTTAATTAAAAACTGAATTTACAAGTCAGTTGTTGTGAAATTTCATTTCAAATAAAAAAATTTTAATGGTAAACTTTACTCCTCCTTACTACTTAACTCCTTACAGGTAAACCTTACTCCTCTGACCTCTAAAGGTGCTCTGGCGACAGCCATGGTCTTTGACCTTCTTGGTAGAGCACTGATTCCTATTCCCCAAGTCACTAGTTCAATCCCAGCTTGGACGGTTTGGGACCGGTGGGGTTACATTGGTGCCGTGACCCGGATGCGAGTGAGGTTTAGGGGCGTGAGTGTAGCAGAGACCAGCTAGTAAAGTGCTCGCTTCTCTGAACTCTAAAAGTGCTCTAGCGACAGACACTAG